CTCTGTGTGAGTTCAAGAAAAAAGCTGTGGACTGTGGCTCAGTCATGTCTGCTGACTCTTTGCGACCCCACAGACTGGAGCCCGCCAGACTCCTCTGTCCATGGGATTTCCCAGGCAAGAATACTGGAGTGGATTGACATTTCCTTCTCCAGCGAATCTTCCCAACCCAGGGATCAAACCAGCGTCTCCTGCAAGTCTCTTGCATTGGAGGCATACCCTTTACCACAGAGCCAGTGCGGAAGCCCCATGAGTTCTAGAAGCAGGTGGCAAATGACATGCAGACAGATAAAAGGTGACTCCTCAGCCATCAACCATCTGCATCAAAAATAACACCTCAGCACCGACAATGGACCTTCTTTCTTTGATCCCCAACTCACAACCAAACGATTTGCAGACAAGACTCGGAAACTCTTTTATTAAATTGAACACAGAATGACTGTTATAATAACGTCAAGCCTTTATCAGAAATCAGTACATAAATGAGGATACACAGCCAAAATGAGCCATCAACAGAAGCAGTGTAAATTTTAAATAACTTTCAAGATTCTCTATTCAATATGCTTAAGAAAATAAAACCAAAAGAGCAATTTCAATTTCACAGTTCACAGTTGATTGGCTTCAATCCCAAGACATTTTTGCCATTTATGTGGCCTCAGAACACAGATTTCCAAAGTGGTGACTGGCACAAAGCCCCAGCAGCATACACAGATGTTAAATCCCTGTATGACATTTAGGGGAAATTGTAGGAAACAAACCCAATTTCATACAGTTCTGGCAGGCATTTTTTAGCTATATCCTTTACCAGAAACATCGTTCTAGGGAAACAGTAAAAGCAATTTTAAAAGTTTGCCATGCCATTAAATGAAGGGTTGTAAAGTTTCCCTTGGCTCCACGATTTTATTCTCTAATTTAAAACAATGAGCTAAAATGCAACATTAACAGTGAAAGTAAAATCAGTTTTGCTTCTGGATCTAGAGCATACATCCAAGAGAGGCAACTTATTGTCTTAGCAGACACACGGAATGCTTTAGAGCAGAGTCTGCCACACTCTAGTAAGGCATTTCAAAGCAGACACCCCATATCCAAACTAAATTATTATGGTCAGCTGAGGATACCACAAGGTGGACACCAATTAACACAGAATCAACATGAAATTCTTAAAAAATGACACACATTTACAAAACCACAGGAAGATGCTCAAGTACCAAAAGAAGGTAAAACAATGACCAGCCACTCTAAAAGTTTTGTTCCTGTAAATGCCAGATTTTCAGAATAGAAACAAACCACTTCATATGTGCTTTGCACTAGGATAATATTGTTCATCTGGACACATGGGGTTATTTTCCTTAAAAAAATATATCATGTAGAGAATATACATATAATCAGTGATATAGAACATTTATTTTCACTAGTGAGGGGGTCACTTAAGCACTTACACAGAAAGAGTTATGAGTGAATCATGAAGGTTATGTAAATGTGAAAGGAAATCTGATAAAACCTGTATTTTTAGTATTCAACAGCAAAGTGTGATTTTTAGCAGTTGCACTGACTTAATGAGAAACTATGACCATGGAAAAATCTTTTAAGTTCAAAGAATTGTAAAATGTCCAAAAAACAAAAGTCTAATTAGTAAAAATAGACAGTTTCATTTCAAGCGCCCTAAAGGGAGAGTTTATTTTGAAAGCCATGAATTTTATCAAAGAGCACAAGAATATGAAGCCAGGATATCAAAACTTCAGTTCTGACTTACCCACTGAATCTTCATAATCTGCAAGAAGTCACTTAAATTCTTCTGATTTTGTCCACAAAATAATTGGCATAAAAATAAAGGCATATGTCAATACTTTTTTCCTAAACAGTACTAGAGTAAAGCTAAATATGGTTACTAAGGCTTACAATTGCAACAACTCATTGTACAGTACACTCATTTTTAATCCTGCTAATTATGGCTAAGAGAAAGCACGGACAGTTACAATTCTCAGGGATTCAAAGGCTTTAGATAAACTAATGGTTTCAACTTTCTAAACTACTCCATCTGTTCTTCTAGAGTTGTTTTAAACGGCTAATCATCTGTGGGGTTGACCCTTTATGCCTCTCTATTCTCTGGTAGAACAGGTGAAAATAGTAAAGGGAGAAATGATACCATGGAGAAAAAAGCAGCAGTAGATTGAAATGAGGTATAAGCTGATTTAATAAACCCCAATCAGTAATTTACAGTTTTCTAAAGAAGCTGCATAGTTGAGCAAACATACATCATAAAAACAGGGATAAAGAAAAAATTCTTATCATGAAGCTTTAAAATGTATGACAATTAAGCAATAAAATGACCAAAAAACTTCAGTTTGAAAAGGAGTTGTCTTCCCTCACTCTAAGCATATACAAAAACAGAAACAAGGCTGAAGTCCACAGGAGAAAAAGACATATGTTAACTGGCTCAGGTTATCAACTTCATACACTGCTTGTTAAAAGATGTAAATATGTAAACAGATATTAAACTATAGTTAATTATGCCTATGCTGAATTGTTTAGGGAAGTGTCTGAAATTTACACTAAAATGTATATTTTTTTAAAACTCCATTGTTCAACGGATAAACAGAGGGACAGACAAATATATGGTAATATAAGTACTGGAAAATGTTAACAGTAGAATCTAGTGCTAATATACTGTAAAATTCGTTAACTTTAAGGTACTTTTAAAATTTCTCATAATAAACTGTCAAGAAAAATGTTAGTATTTCTGCAGCAAAATTAATTAGCAGTGCGTTTTAGAGACTCAAAGAGTACAGGCAATTTAGAATTTTAAATTCATTGAAGTAAGAAAAATTTTACTTTAAAACATCTTGAACCTGATTTCTCAAGGTACCTGTTTTAAATGTAGAGATGAATTATAACAGCACAATGAATAAGTATTATGCATGACAGTCTTCACACACTTCATGTGCAAATACATAATTCTGTCCTCTCTACAGTACTAGATAAGACAGTATTTGAAAACGATACTGGAATAAAGTTTTTCCAAACATCAATTTCAAGCTCTTCCCAATCCATCACACTATCGATCACTAAATATAAATGCAATGCAGATCAAAGTGGAAAAAAAAAATCAATGACCGTTGCCAGCCTTGGACAACTGGATTCATTTTCAGGATATATGGTTCCTGATCAGTTATCATACAGTTTTACTCAATATAAAATTGAGATTGCACAAATAAAAAAAAAAGATGCAGAACACAGAATTCACACAAAGCTTTGTTACTCCAATTTCCTATTTTATGCATTGTGACTAATGGCAATAATTCTATCATCTCTTCTTTCTGTGAAATGCTAAAACTTGCTAAAGGCACTCATAATCTGGGCTTAACAAAGACAGGGTCACATGGGACCATAAGCCAGTATTTTTTTGGTAGCTACCCAGAAAGGGAGTTGATAAATGATCCTCCCATTCGTAGCGGGAAGACAAAGTCAAACAGCTATCAGTAGAAATGTCGTATGAGAAGCTATTTACACAGCTATTTGTCCATTCAGTAAGAATGATAGTAATAGCTCACAATGACAGGGGTCCACCACCAAAAAAATTAAAGCAACAAGACATTCTTTATGATGCATGAAACTTCTAAATGGTGATTTGGCTGGTTGAAAAAAGAAAAGCCAGCAAGATGGAATCTTTCTAAAGTATCTGTTCAAAAGCCTGCATTAAACTTTTACCTATACTGACAAACCATTTCTCTACTTCTAAAGCAACTCTGCTGTCTTTCGTATATGCCACACCAACTGTTTTGGAAGGTCCTTCCAGCCTGTGTTCTGACAGTGAGGAAACAAAACAGATTAGGTTCCAAATCCATCACTCCTAGGCCTCTCTGTAGAGACATTATGCAGAACAGTTACATGTCTGCCCTGACTCAAGGGGGACTCGTTTTAATGGGTCACTGAACAGTCCTCCAACTGTCGTTCATAGTCCCCACTGATTCAGGAGTGAGGGAATCATTAAAACCACCATTAATCCTTCAAGTCTATCTACAGAGGAAGACTTAATCAGATGTATAATATATATGTATATACACATACATGTGTATATATATATCTTTAATCCTAGTTCAAAGTATAGATACAAGCAAGTACATCAGTATTGTAGAACAGCTCTATAAAATAAGGTGGATGATCTCATGCTTTCCTTTCAGCTGTTGAAGTTAGAGGAACATGGAGATGATCTCAGACAGCCATGATTTTTCATTCAATCTCAGGGTTTCAAAAAATTCTAAATGGTTTTCTAAGTTTATCAACTCAAGAAAAGGGGCAACAGTGAGGAAGAGTTGGAGGAAGTTTTTGCAAATGGTATAGGGCAGTTATTCACCTTGCAGATTTCAGTGCAATAAGAGACAAATAGACACACGTCATAAACAACATGCACATATTTACAAGTTGTGATACATGACATACAAAGACAAAACCAACAAAACATTTTCTCTTCAACGTGGAGTTGAAAGGATCACAGGGCACACTCAGCTCTGTAGCTGAATATTCTTGAAAAAACACTTCGAAGACATAAGCAATCTAATCTTTTAATTGGAACACCAAAATTTTTCCTTTACATCTTCTTGCCCTCAATATTTTAGAAGAGTTTCTAATTCTAATCTTCAACATTGATTTCTGAATGACAACTTACATGGAGATATTCACAGAGAAGAGGCTTGGATGCTCTGAGTTCTTACAGATCTAGAACTAGGATCTACATATTTGACTAGAGGTTTCCCACTGGTTAGGCCTCTGTCCATCCTTGTATACAGTACATAAAAAGATATTAATGTGATTCCTGGGGAGCACAGGGTGCAAATTCTAAAGGATATTACAGAGCAGGACCTGATTTTACTAAATGAAACTGACAGATCACATATCACTGAGTGCAGTACTAACAACAGCTTTCTTTGACAGGAAAAAAAACCAACACTGTCTGTAAGGAATGCATGAGCATGAGAAACTGTACCATGCAGAGGTGTATTTACCTGGGCATTTCCTGTCTGACACCTCTGTCACCATTTGTTTCGCCTATGGAACACAGGAGAATATTGCAAGGTAACAAGCCCAAAACAACCCACTGTCATAGAGCTATGCAATTCTTTTTTTGGACGTGTATGTAACCTTTATAGTCATGGAAGTTATTTATCAACTGCCTAGAGTTTGGCAAGTAAGGAGCAAACCCAGCTATTGTAGGCAATATGGTTTCTAAGGTGTCATATAAAGCAAACATCAGTCTTTTTTAGTGCAAAGAAATAGAACAAGTAAGAAACAACACTATAAATCTAACTTTTTTCTTTAAAAGAAAATGCATTTATGCATTCGTAACATCCATTAAGGGCACTGAGAGACTAGAAACCTGAATATGCAAGGCCAGGAAAAACACCAAGGCCTTAAGTCCACTGCTATTACATATATAAAATGAAATTTTTAAGTGGGAAGAGTAGAGAAGATCCTTTCATTAGTTTTATCTGCAAAGAAAAAACTGAAAGTGGATGAATGCCACTTGTATAAAATGTAAATTCTTATCCACAATCTTTTGCTATTATCTAAGGATTCAATGAAATCTTCTCTATGGTATCACATAAAACTATACATACATAAGTTTATATATGTATGTGTATGTATATAACTACATATATATACACACATACATATACATGTGTATACATACATGTAGTCACACACAGAGAGGGAAATGAATTTTTAAATAATCATAGAACCATGTGGCCAGCACTTTCATATTAAAATCTACCAAAAAATTACACTTAGCAGCAAAATGAGTAACCTACTAACCAATAAGAGAAGCTCTAAACTGCCCTAAAATAATCAATTATACTTTATAGCTTACTGCAAAAAAGTGTTATTATAATGATTCACAGGTCCAGACAGCACTTCAACAGAAGATTATTTCATTCTTCTGTTTCTGGGAGAAAATAAAATTACTAAATAATTCTCCTTTTCAAAAAACCATGACTTCAACAGAAGGGTAACTTGATAGTGTACCAGAGAGTGTACCAGTATCACAAAACTTAATTTTAAATATGGGTCTAGATAATTCAAAAATTGTTCATAAGTACTAAAGGAATGGAATGATGATTATTTTCCTTCTCCTTATCTCTTTGCCTACCGAATTTTTAAGGAAAAATACGAGTTTTATTTTTAATTAGTAATATAAGCAATCAAAAGTGAATTTACCATAGTGCAAAGATATTGCTCAATATAAACTTCTATGAACATGGCCTTTCAAAAGAAGTATGGATGAGCACCCATCTTATCCATGTAAATATAGTAAATAAGTAAAATACAGTGAGTGAAAGTTCATAGAATCCTCCATTGGTTAATCTAGACAAAACACTAGAGCTTCTCATTTTAAAAACAAAAAGCAAAAATAATAATACTGTTCTAATTATCAGATATGAAAGTAATCTATATTTTTATTAATCTATATCTTCAAGGAAGCTGAATTGTAAAGAATAATGCCAAAGTTCAGGTATTTTTCTATTGGAAATGATACTAAAATTGATTAACTGTTTTAAAAAAAAATTATTTTCTTTCTTGGAAATAGTAAAGTAGTGATATTCTTCAGGACAGTCTACAAATTAGCAAGACAAAAAAGAACGTAAGTAAAATGTAAGGATCCATTTATGTAAAAAGTCTATCAAAACAAATATCAAGGGTTCTGAACTTACGGTTGAGACCATCACATAAGTGCATGTTATTATCATGAAGTAACTCTAAGTTGAAAAATCAAACACATTTCATTTCCCAACACCAGCTGAGAAAAATATATTTTAAAAAAATCATATCTATCCTAAACTCATTGGATATTCAAATATGGGGCTTGGAAAACCTACAACACCATTCTGGGGCGTGAAAATGAGCTAATTGGATAAGCTAAATCAACAGAAGGAGAAAAAAAAAGGGAGAAAAGGTGAATTTAAAAGTGTGAAATTCACAACTGAAAATCAAGTTTCACTATCTGGAAGTACACAAACACATTAGAAGTGTCTGAATCCAAGAAAACCTGCATTTCAATAAGGAAGGGACATGATAAACAGAAAACACTACTCTGGGCAAGATTCTAATGCAGTTTACATAGGATATCCTACTGACAGTTCATTGAGTTGAGATGGTAAATCCAAAGAAACCTTGGGAAACTAAAATCTTTGCTTACCTGCTTTTACTGTGATCTGAAGCAAAAACTCGATAAAATTATTTAACAATACATAACACTAACACTGTAAAAGAATATGAAGTTTTTAAATAGTTAAAGCTCTAAGTGGTCAGGCTACTAGTTGACCAGAACTTGGTCAAGATAAAAAGGTCTGTCTCATGGGGTAGGTCGGTCACAGGCTTTAAGCACTTCAACACAACTGACCTGAAAAAGCATCATGACTTAAGCACGCTCTTTTCCTTCCCCAATTCTGACACCTTATGGTACCACTGCAGGTTATGTGTATTAACATCAAGCAGAGGAATGTACTCATATCGAAAGAACCACAAAGCGGGGCATGTTGACAGAAGGCGAGCAACAGGCAGGACAAGCTGCTCTATCTGAATATGACAGTCACTATACGTAGCCCAGATTCTCCATCTCATTCCTGTACCGCTGTTCAGACACCTTGCTTTTATGTTGCTTGCTCTCTAAATGCTGCCGGAATTCCACCTCTTCGCCAGCCCCGACATTACACATGGAGCAGTAAAACTGGCCACTTGGAGTAACACACATGGCCAGATCACGTGGAATTCTCTGCCGAGAGCGGGGATTGAAGTAAGGACCTGCTGAAGCAAAGAGACAAAAGTAATATATTCACTTCAAAATACTCACTAAGCGAATGATGGTCTGACCAATTATCACTGTAATTTGTAATTCTAAGCTCAAAGTATAAAATTCACAGATTCCTAGTTTGAAAAAAATGAGAAGTTAATGGGTTTTTTAAAATTACAATTTTATACAGGTTCAGTCTGAAAAGCTAAAATGATTCCTCCAACTATTGTCAGAAATGTTACTGCAGAGCCAAATCCACACTCTAAATAGCAATGTCTCTAAAAAGTGAATGTAATTTTAGAAATACTTTCATTTCTAAGCATTATATCAAAAGTTATGTCATTATGCTACTACTTTAATCCAAAAATTCTACTTCTAAGAATTTCACTAAGAAAATGTTGAGAATTTTTGTATAGAGATTTATGAGGACATTTATTTAACTAGAGTTTACAAAAGATTTTTTGGGAGGGTAAGGATAAAGGAAAGATCCAAACACACAACTCAAAAAAATCTTAGTAATGAATGTAATGAAAAACTAAATAGTCACTAAAAACAATGCTACAGAAAACTCTATAATTACAGTATTTGATTATAATATGCTATTACATTAAATAAGAATGTCACAAAATATGATCACATTTCCATTTTACAGAATACACACAAAAATGTTGGTAGAATTATTGATAATTTTATTTTTTTATATAACTGACTTAAGTTGGACCATTAGCTCAATGCTTTACTGCTTTCCTACTATAATAATAAACATTTAAGGCTTTTCTCAAAATGTTACTTTGACTACATGCTACAAATTTTGATAATTTTTATTACAATTTGATTCTAAGAATGTTCAATCACCAGTATGATTTTTTCTTTGGCGAGAGAGTTATTTAGAAATGTTTAAAAACTTCCAAACACATAAAAATTTTGTGTTTTTCTATGATTGACATCTCATTTACTTGTACTCTGATCCAAGAACATAGGTCTAAATGGCCTTCTGTCCTAAAGGTTTTTGTTTTTTTTTTAAATCTAATGCTAAGACAGCTATTTTAGCTTCCTTCATTTCAACTGAATATTTTCTATCTAATCTTACAATTTTCTTTTTCACTGGGACTTTAAGTTTACATTTACTGCAACAATGATATATGTTTCAGACTTTCGTGAGACTTATTACATTGTGTTCTATATGTCCCTTTTTTCTATGCTTCTTTTGCCTTTCTAATCAGTTTGTTGCTGTTTGTTTTACTGTTCACAAGAGTGACCTCTGCTCATATATGTGTGCACTGGAGGCTGGGGTAGGGAAGGATGAAGGACTACTCTCCCTACTGAAGATGATCAGAAAATGCAGAAAATATTGCTATCAACTAGCAATTCTGAACTAAAAGTATGTATCAATCACCAAGGAAGTATTTGCAAAATACACACATGTCTGAGTCCCACTCTAAATTTACTGACTGAAAATCTCTAAGTCATGTTTCAACTATGTGTATTTTATAAAAACTCCCCAGATAATCTGAGTCACTCCCCTGGTTAAACACCAGTGCTATCATTTTTATTTTCCCTAATAACTGGGGATTTAATGTGGTGCAGCTTGAAACCAAATATTTCATTTTTATACTACATTTAAATGTATCAGCTGGCAAACACCAGAAGTAACATAAAGGCACTAAGATAAGACACTTTAAAACACAGACTCGGCTATGTGAAATTCTTGTAAAGCAAGTATACTTCAACTTTTTAAAAAGTTGCATTTTGGGTCTTAGAACCCAAGGATGTATCACCTTTCCATTTAACTCATTTCTTATTCTTGGTTCCTTGAAATAAAGTCATTTTCTTGATGTAAAAAAAATTAAATAAAATCAAAATAAATAATACACTAAATAGGAAATAAATAAATAAGACCTGAAATAAACACCAGCTTGAAAAGCCACTAGACCAATTCCACAAAACAAAAGCTAATCCCAAATTCTCAGGGCTATCTATTGCCATTAAAGGAAATAAAAATAGAGGACACCATTTGCAAAACATAGCCAAGGTATGTGAAAAGTCACAGAATACCTGAATTATTCTGTACTGCATACATATTTCTCCTATTAGACATCATCTTATATTCATTCCCTTCTTTCCGGGTCCGCCGTTGACCGACCTCTGAGGAGTCTCTGGAGAAGAGACATTTTAAAAGAATGAGACTTCCAAACAAGGCTCCCTTTCAACTCTTTTTCTCTAGACAGTGAGTCTCACATAACACTCTGGCCTAAGAGAAAACGGCAATACCTACGAGAATGAGTTACTCTGAGCTTCCGCCAGCCGCAGTCTCTTGGCATGATTCTTCCCTTGATAGTGAGCCTGGGCCACAGCCGGAGAGCTGAAGGAGGCATCGCAGAGCTTACAGTAATCATTTTCTGTGGCTAGGATCACTCTGCCTCCTGGCTTAAAGGACCCCATCTGACAGCAAAGACACAACAAACAAGGTTTTAAAGTGTGGACTCTGTTCTCTTCTCCTCTAAGTTCCTTCCTTCCAAGAGCTGAAAAATAACCCGTTATGGCATGACCATGAGCACGCAGCTTTATAAGGACAGGAAAGTATTCGTTTCAGAAAGGAGGAGGGAAAAAAAGGCTGAGAGACACTTAATCGTGGTTTTGCATTATGATCATCTGTATACCAAGCTGGATGAATGCCTCATTGCTATTTTCATTGAAGAAATTTCAGAAAAGAAGTTAAAAAACCCAGCAAGGAAGATTCAGGGCAGCACAGGTTAAGGTCTAAACTCACATTACCAGAGAGAAAAAGTCTTCCCAGAATCCATTAACAAGCATGTACTAAATGCCTACTATTTATAGGGCTTGCAACCTAATGCAAAAGTGACATACAGACATGTATTAAAAACTAAACCTCTATCCTCACAGTCTATAAATTAGCTACAGATATAGTGTATGTGTGTGTCTTAGTTGCTCAGTCATGTCCAATTCTTTGGGACTCCATGGACTGTAGTTTGTCAGGCTCCTCTGTTGATGGAATTCTCCAGGCAAGAATACTGGAGTGGGTACCATTCCCTTCTCCAGGGGAGCTTCTTGACCCAGGGATCAAACCCTGGTCTCCTGCATTGCAGGCAGATTCTTTACCATCTGAGTCATCAGGGAAACCCACAGATACAGTATAATTAGGAGGAAATAACCGGCAGGTCCAGACAGCTGTATTCAGGCTGGGAAACAATGAGCTACGGGAAACCTAACACAGTCCCTGGAAAGTAGTATACCTCAGTTATATACCTCAGCTGGGTTAACAAAACATGCCAAACTAGATTTGGCTAAAGAAGAATTAAATATACAATAAAGAATCTGGAAAGTGTATCATATCAGACCAGCTGAAGCATTGTTTCACCTGGAAGAGAAGATTTTCTGGGGACAGGATAACTGTTTTCAAAAATCATAAAGATTTGTGCTATGAAAGAAGCCCACGGCTGTTTGCCCAGGAGGGTGGAACCAGCTGAAAACAGTCTCTACCAGGAAGGAGCCATCCAATTCTAGAACAGCCTTCAAGAACTAGCACTGTAAATCCATGGCTAATTCATTTCAATGTATGACAAAAACCACTGCAATGATGTAAAGTAATTAGCCTCCAACTAATAAAAATAAAAGAAAAAAAAAAAAAAAAGAACTAGCACTGGGAAAACTCCTCGGCCTGAAGATCTCTCTGGGTATCCTGCTATCCTCTGATTCTGTTTTTAACATATCTCATTTACCCCACAAATTCGGGAGGATAGGAGAATACCGGATACTGCTATCCACATCGTAGGGACTGACAACCAGAAAAGTTATACCATGGTGTTTAGGAGTAGAGGTCTAAGGTCAAGAAAAATCAATGCCCCACTTTACAAAATCTGTAACACCATGGACAAGTTATTTGGCTTACCTGGGCTTATTATGGTCAACTTCCAACTGAGACCGATGCTGCTGGCCCATGGATCACACTTTGAGAAATAAGTCAATACCTCTGAGTTGTTGCAAGCATTAAATTAAGTTAGGACCCAGGCCAAGAAGGAGGCAAGGAAGGAGCCCTGGGCATCCAATATAAAGGAGCATCAGAAAACTTAGCTATTGGGATGAAAAAATACTTAGTGTAATATTTTCACAAATGAAACCCACAGCCAAAAAAAATCAATGAGGAACAAAATATGAAAATTTTAAATAAAGACAGGATCAGCAACAGTGTCATGCCAAACCATACCGCAGCCTAAGGCAAAAGGGAAATCAGTAACAGTTATCCTATCTTTAAGTTTTTGCCATTTTGTTCACCAGTGACTTTTTCACATTAATTTTGCATTTTAAAAATATCACATTATTTATCTTGATTACTGAGCATTTTAGCTCCCTCTTAAATTCTGTGCCTAAGTCAAGTACATCCCTCATCTCACCCTCATCCCAGGGCTGAATGAACTAATGTCTGAAAAGTGCTTAGCAGAGTACCTCGCATAGTAAGAGATCAAAGTGATTATTAGTTATTATTATTTATGACCTAAGGGGCTTCCCTGATAGCTCAGTGGTAAAGAACCTGCCTGCCAATGCAGGAGATATGGGCTCAATATCTGGGTTGGGAAGATCCCCTGGAGAAGGAAATGGCAACCCACTCCAGTACGCTTGCCTGGAAAATGCCATGGACAGAGGGGCCTGGCGGGCTATAATCCATGAGGTCTCAGAGTCAGACACAGCTTAGAGACTGAGCACTGAGCACACACATTTATGACCTATAAGAAAAATAATACTTCAAAGACAGATTAGAATCCATATTTCAGAAAGTACTAAAGTACAGGAATATCTTGCCTCAAACACCGATCTCCCAAAGAGTAAATGGAACTTGGCTCTCAAGTGTGGGTCATGATACCAAAGTCCAGGAAGAGTGTGTACAGGCTCTCTGTACAGAAGTAAGAAAGGGGCAGCTTCAAGAAACTGATCTCGCTGGAAGGCAATATGTAAAGTCAACAGGGGAACTTTTCTGGTGGTCCAGTGGTTAAGACTCTGCCTTCCAATATAGGAAGCACAGGCTTGATCCCTGGTTGGGAAGCTAAGATCCCACATGCCTCATAGCCAAAAAAATTCATAAAACAGAAGCAATATTGCAACAAGTTCAATAAGGACTTTAAAAAATGGCCCGCATCAAAAAAAAAAAATCTTAAAAAAAAATAAAGTTAGTAGGATTGATCACAATCGAGATAAATGTTTAAAAATCTTTCTTTTCATTCAGGGCTTCATGCAGACATTCAGGGCCATTTAACCCAGAATTTTCAAATATGCATACAGAAAGCCTCATGAAATCATTTTGTTTCATCTCATGAATCATAACAAAATCCAATGAGAAGTCTTGGGATTCATGAATTTTTGCATTAAATCCAGTTATCAATGAGCTGAAAGCACCAAGAAGGGCGTTTTAGGAGTGCTGGCTCAGCTGTACCTTGATGGACACACAGATGACAAACTTCATCCATGCCCACCTGTGCACGGGGCAGCTCCCACCTGACCCTCGAGTCTCACCTGCGGAGGGGCTGAAACAGCTGGAGCAGCCACAGGTTCCACGGTATTGCTCATTCTGGCAGGAGGAGGACAGCTATTTGCTGCATAGTAATTTCGGAGTTTCTTACCATGATTTTTACCCTAGAAGTAAAATGAAATGAGTCACTATTGTGAGGAAGATGTATCAAATTGAGTTAACCTATTTACCAAAAAAGAAAAAAACACATGTTATTCTTTCAGAGATATGCAACAGTGGGGTAAACAGTAGGTAGATTTGATTATTACATCTTAAAGTAGAAGACTCGACTCTTTGATTCTAACAGAATGATTAAATTTATCTGGGAGAGATAAGCGAACAAAGTCAAAAGACATTAATTTCCTATATATTTCTGGAAAACAACCATTTTCTAGTGATCTGTGTCCTCTACCAACTTGTTGCCATTCAATTGCCGCTGCCTAAATATGAATTTTATGACACTCTGATCTAATCTACTTTACAAGTCAGTAATGAAATGGATAATCCAATTACTTTTGCAAAAATAGCACTTCCAGAATATCTTTTTACTTACAAAGAACTCTCCTGGGCATTAGCTCATTTGCCACTCACAAAAATCCTGAAAGAGGAATTTGTTAATGTTATCCATATATGACAGCTGAGACACTGCAACCCAGACAGCACAGAGAACTCGCCTCCGACACCTTCAGGAGGCCTAGCAGCGGGGTCGCAGCTTAAAGCAAGCCTTCTGAATCCAAAGCAAGGCCCTTCTTCATACAGCGTGATGGCTTCAGGATACACTGCGAGCCTCTATTAAAATGGACTGGCCTCTCTCATCACGTTTCCTTTATCATTCTCAAGTTTATGGCTGAGCTGATAAAAACTGGTGGGAAGGGGCAGTCCAAAAGCATCCTAAATGAGGGTTAAACTGTGTATTATTCTTTAAACTGCACTGAAAAACCAAACATGTAGGCAAATATTTATATACCATCTACTATAGGCTAAACCCTAGAAATAAAAAGGACTAGCTAGCATATGGTCTAGAGGAGGAGACAAATATGTAAAGCAGTTAGAGGAATGAGTGAAATTCCACCTAATGGCCCCTGAAATGCCATAAAGGTGCTCTTACCATTATCACAGTGACCTCCAGGGAGTCAAACCCAGGGGTCACATGGGTGCCTTTATTATACTCTAAGAAACACGATACTATTGATACTCCCTCCTTCTATCATCATCTATTACTCCCTCTTACCTCGCGGTCTCTCACTCTCTAAAAGCTGCAGTGTCCAATGCACTACCCTCAGCCCTCTTTTCTCTCCATCCATTCGCAAACCCTGGTTATTTTACTCAGTCTCAGCTTTAAAATACAATCAATAAGTTGGTGATTCCCGAAATTACCTATCACTATTCCTGTTATGGACTGATGGCTTATGTCCCTCCAAAATTCCTATTTTGAAATCAAATCCCCAATGGGATGGTAGTTGGAGGTGAGACCTTTGGAAGGTAATGAGATCACAAGGGTTGAGTCTAATTAGTGCCTTTTAAAGAAGATATCAGAGAGCTCCCTTGCCCACTTTCCACCATGTAAGGATTTAGGAGAAATCGGCTGTCTGCAATCTGAAAGAGGGCCTCAGAACCCACCGATGCTAGATCCCTGATCTCAGACTTCCAGCCTCTGCAACTGTGAGAAATAGATGTTTGTTGTTTGAGTCACCCAGCCTACGACAGACTAAGACAATCCCTGACCTTCAGAGCCATACAGTCAACTGCCTCCTTGCTGTCCGCACACTGCAGTCTTAAGAGGCAGGGGTGTGTGTGTGTGTGTGTGTGCGCGCTGACCTGTGTCCAACTCTGTGACCCCACAGACTGTAGCCCGCCAGACTCTTCTGTCCATGGGATTTTCCAGGCAATAATACTGGAATGGGTTGCCGTTTCCTCTTCCAGAGGATCTTCCTGACCCAGGGATCGAACCCACATCTCTTGTATCTCCTGCACTGGCAGGCAGATTCTTTACCACTGTGCCACATGGGAAAGCCCCTTAAGAGGCATATCCAACTTAACACATCTAAAACATAAATGTTAATTCCCTCCATACCACAGAATGATCTCATCACTGCCATTACCACCATTCATCCACATGTCAGTAAATGACATTACTCTCCACTGAGTTACTCAAGAAAAGCCAAGGAGTCCATTCCTTGATTCCATCCCTCCTTAAAGCCAACACATTCAACTGATAAGTCACTGTCTCACTTAAAATTTTCCAATGGCCTCCTACTACACTTAATCAGTCAATCTTTCCTGTAAGCCCTTTTTGATCTGGCCCTGTCTACTTCTCAGATTTCATTTCACGCAGCCCCCTGCCCCCCTCCTCATTATGTTCCTGCCTGACAACCAAACACATACACTTAAAACATGCCACACACATTAACTCTAAGGCCACTGCACTTGCTATTCTTTCTGCTTAAAATGGTCTTCTTTCCAATCTCTACATGGCTGGCTACTTCTTACCTTTCAAAAGTCTCAATTCAAACAACATCAAACAACATCTCACTCAGTCTGAGGTGTCACCCCCTCACTGACCAACACTTCCCCCACCCAACACACACACACACTGAATCACCTTACTACACTTTCCTGTTATAGTTCATCACAGTACCACTTACAACTAACTGAAATAATGTTTTTTTGCTTATTTTTTTCTCTTTCCTACCCTCTGGAATGTAGACTCCTTGAAAATAAGGACCTTGTCCATCTTATGTACTGTTCTAGTCCCCATTTCTAGAACAATTTCTAACACATGGCAGACAATCACTATATATTTGTTGGCTAAGTGAATCACTATTAGAGTGGAAATAAGGAACAAACTGCTAAGAGAGCAAAGAGAAGGGAAGGCTTACTTCTGCCTGAGACTACCAGGGAAAGCTTCCCTGAAAGGGGGACATATGAGTTATCTTTTAAAATGATGGAGAAGGAAATGGCAACCCACTCCAGTGTTCTTGCCTGGAGACTCCCAGAGACGGGAGCCTGGTGGGCTGCCGTCTGTGGGGTCGCACAGAGTCACCCACGACTGAAGCGACTCAGCAGCAGCGGCAGCAGCAGCGGGGCCCTCTTTCCGCCCCCTTCTGATGTCTGTGTCAGAAGCTGTCTCTCTCTCTTTCATACTTTAATAAATCTTTATCACACAAAAGCTCTGAGCGATCAAGCCTCGACACTGGCCCTGCACTGAATTCCTGTCCTCCGGAGGCCAAGAATCCTGCATCATTCACAGCTCAGCAGCAACTGCTCACTGCTGGGACCCACGTGGTGACAAGGCCTTGGGGCTCAGACACTTACATGCCACACGCCCTGGGTGGGTCCAGAGCCTGGGGACAAACTGTCCTCTGATCACATTTAAGAAAAACCAGGCATTTTTCTTCTGGTTATCAAAGTTCTACAAACTCATCATTTGGAGATTAAAAGAAAGCAAAAAGAAGAAATTTTACAGCACACGGTTTGATAGTCGGGGAGGCCATGTGTGTGGTGACAGGGTACATGGAAACTCTGCTTGGTTTTGCTGTGAACCTAAAACTGCCCTAAAAAAGAAGAAAAAAAATAAATAAATAAATAAAATAAAATGAGCAAGTTTACTAGGCAGGTAAGGAATGAGGGGGAAGATAACTGTTAACACAGGAACAGTGTAAGGAAACAGCAGTCTGCTTGAGACGGTCTCCAGGATCCTTTGGAAAAGAGGTAGGAGCTGATACACACAGGGAGCTAATTGTGTATTGTTTTGTTGATGATATAGACCTTGGACTTTAGAGGCAGCAGGGGGCTCTGAAGGGCTTTAAGCACAGCAGTTACATGACTGAATTGCATTTGATAAAGATTATTATAAATGGGAAGATAGAAAAAAGAGCCTAGGGAATGAGGATCCAGAAAAGAGATTGAGAATGTCTGGTTAATGAAGTAAAATGGAAACTAGACAACTCTAGCATTATGGAAGTCTAGAACAAGGTGTTTCAAAAAAAGAGTCTAATTAGATATATTATAACCCAGGATATTTACTTTCAGGTATTCCAGACAAAAGCAAACATATGCAGAGCTCCTTATAAAAGCAAAAGAATGGGAAAGACTAGAAATCGCTTCAAGAAAACATACACATAAAGATCTACCTATAACAACAATAGAATGGGAAAGAGTAGAGATCTCTTCAAGAAAATTAAAGATACCAAGGGAACATTTCATGCAAAGATGGGCACAATAAAGGACAGAAATGGTAGGGACCTAACAAAAGCAGAAGATATTAAGAAGAGGTGGCAAGAATACACAGAAGATCTATACTAAAAAAGATCTGAATGACCCATATAACCACGATGGTGTGATCACTCACCTAGAACCAGATATCCTGGAGTGAGAAGTCAAGTGGGCCTTAGGAAGCATTGCTCTGAACAAAGTTAGTGGAGGTGATGGAATTCCAGTTGAGCTATTTCAAATCCTAAAAGATGATGCTGTGAAAGTGCTGCACTCAATATGCCAGCAAATTTGGAAAACTAAGCAGTGACCACAAGACTGGAAAAGGTCAGTTTTCATTCCAATCACAAAGAAAGAAAATGCCAAAGAATGTTCAAACTACCACACAGTTGCACTCATCTCACACGCTAGCAAAGCAATGCTCAAAATTCTCCAAGCTAGGCTTCAGCAGTATGTGAATCAAGAACCTCCAGATGTTCTAGCTGGATTTAGAAAAGGCAGAGGAACCAGAGATCAAATTGCCAACATTTGCTGGATCACAGAAAAAAAAAGAGAATTCCAGAAAAACATCTACTTCTGCTTCATTGACTACACTAAAGCCTTTGACTGTAAGGATCACAATAAACTGTGGAAAATTCTTCAAGAGATGGGAATATCAGACCACCTTACCTGCCTCCTGGGAAATCTGTATGCAGGTCAAGAAGCAACAGTTGGAACTGGACATGGAACAATGGACTGGTTCCAAATTGAAAAAAGAGTACAGTCAAGGCTTGCTTATTATGGTCACCTTGCTTGTTTAACTTATATGAGGAGTATATCATGCAAAAGGCTGGACTGGATGAATCACAAGCTGGAATCAAGACTGCAAGGAGAAATATCAATAACCTGTCACCAGTGGTGCCATATGACACCA